CGGCTAGGTTTTAAACTCTACATTTTTTTACCATATTTCAACAATCATTAATTGCTAACTTAAAGTTTTAATCAAGATTTACAATAATGTAGATGTAATTTAAACATAGATACTAGAAGTTATATATACGGGAGGCTTTGCCATTCAGCTTTAGCTAACTAATAATTAGAAGATCAAATGAAGCAGTAAAACAATGTTTGATTTGATTGCATTTAAACTTTATTAAAAAATCTCTCTCTTTAATGAAATCGATCACAAATACATAAACTATAGTTTCATAGAAATTTCGTACATTTCATAGGCAATTCTTTGACAGAGAATAACTCAATCTACTAGTCTGTCCTACGTATACTCTATACCTAGTATATTGTAACTTTTAAAACTTTGTCGAATAACCTATATTAAGAAAAAATATTGAAAAAACTAACTAAATATTGTTGTTTGAATCGCTATTTCAAGTTTTTTTTAAAAAAACTTAACGCTTATTAGCCAAGGTACAAATTACCTTGCTGATTGCTGTTTTAGGTATATGAAATAAACTGTTTATTCAATGAACGGTCTATGAAATGAACTGTTTATAAATTAATTGTCTTTAAAATAAACTTGTCTATGAATTAATTGTCTATAAAATAAGATGCCTATAAAATGATTGTCTATGAAGTGATACATACCCGTGTAAATCATTATTATTATAACAAAAACATCATTCTGAGCGAAATGAAATGAAGTGGTATATGAGTTGCTATGTAATAATGAGCAGTGATGAGCGTAGCAAGCAATGAATAGCAATGAGCAGCAAGAAATGCGTAGTAATGAGCAGCAATGAGCAGCAAGCAATGAGATATTCAGTAGATTCGGACGTGACATATACTAAATTTTGATCGTATGTTAATATCAGATATAGACTTACGAAGTTCAATTTTTATAAGTAACCATTTTTAATGGTTAGGATTAGGGTGAGCTCTAGTATTGTCCTGTTTCATGTTGGGATTAGTAGGATAAGTAACTTGGGCTTGATGAATTTTTTTTCTTTTACAAACCGTACGTACAGTACTATCATGATTTCTACACGTCCGTTCTAATTTGCGTTTCCGTACCGTACTACTTTACTATATACCCCAAACCATGCGTAGCAATAAAAACACTTATACAAATGACATGGTTCCCATGTAAAATTAAAGACCTAATAAGGATAAAAAAGAGATACTCATTGAAAGTCAATACCATGAATAACGAAATACTGCCAAAGACTCTGTAATACACAAAACCATCGTCGTCCTGTAGTCGGTAATTGTTAATAATTATTAAAAAAAAATAATACTTATGGTTTGATTTACAGATTTATAACTAACGCGTCATCGTTTTGTATTATTAGGTTTTTAAAATACATTAACGTTGCAGTTAAATTATTAAACCAATAATCAATTGGAGTCCTCGATTCATTGAACATGTGACTGCCTAAAATTGGATAAACTTAAATCTTTTCATTACAAATTAAAGATGAAAGTGTTTTTATCATTGTCACTAAAAACTAGTACAGATGATCTAAAAATAATAGCAAATTAGAAGATAAATTGGCATCTTTCAAGACTCCTTGAGTTGCCATGTCTCTAATCTTTGTCTTCATTCTAGCCGGTGGCATATTGCCACACTGGGCAATAATCAGAGCAATAATACCAGCAACATGAGGAGAGGCCATACTGGTTCCGGACAGACTTTTGGTTCCGCTACGAAGCCAGACAGAAGTAACATTTTGACCTTCATATTTACGTTAAGTATATTGTTACAAGAGTAAATTATTACGAAAATAAAGAAAAAAAGAAAATCAAAATTTATCTCCTATCGCGTAATACTATTACATCATTTACCAGGAGCGAAGATATCAACACATGTCCCAACGTTTGAGAATTTAGATATTGTATCATCGATGCTTGATGATCCTGTGGTAATCGCCTCAGGAGTGGAGGAGGGTGAAAAAAAACAAGCATTTGCGCCGTAGTAATTCCCAGCCGCAACAGTTACATGAACGCCAATATCAGTCAATGCCTTGACGGCTGCGTTGGCTGGCGGAAAGTATTTACCAGTCAAAGAAAGGCTGAGTGGTTTAATTTAAGTAATTAATATGCTAAATAAATTTTCAATTTAATGAGGGGAAATTTGAGAAATATATATATATATATACTTGACAATAGAATGCTTTCTTTTACTGTATTTATGCTGTTTAGCTACCCAACTCATTCCAGCAATCACATCACTCCATGATCCGGTCCCTTTTTCCCCTAAAGCTTTGACTGCGATAACTCTGGTGGCTTTCGCCACCCCATGTTTGTTCCCTAGGGTAAAGAGGGTGACAACGTATAGTTGTTTACATAAATTTCAAATTTCGATATTCTCAGCTATTTTACCTGCGATCTAAAAAAGAAAAACTTAATAGTAAAGATATAACATTTAAAGATAATAAAATTAATTTGTACCTACAATTCCTGCAACATGAGTTCCATGGCTTTGAAAGATAAAATGTAATACATTGGCAATTAGTATACAAATATATAATTATAAATCATCTGATAATATTTTAAATATACAATATACCCATATTCGTCAATGTTTGGTGTTCCTTTAACAATAGACACGCCCCAAGAAGCTCGACCTCGAAAGTCTGAGTGATATATATCTATTCCACTGCCATTTATTTTTTTAAAGAAATAAATTTGCATGACATTTAGTATATAATGTGCAATTAAGGATACGTATCACTTCACCGACGCTAGTTTCGTAGGCATAACATTTCACCGACAAAAATTCACCGAATGTCTATTTCACAGAAAATTATTTCGTAGACAAGTTTATTTCACCGAAGCTTATTAAATAAACAATTTTTTTTTATAAATTCCACTAACCTTAACTCTAATTCTAACCTGACCCTAACGACAATGACCAGGATTATTTTGTCGGTGAAATAAGTTTCGGTGAAATAAACTGTCGGTGAAATGGAAAATAAATGTCGGTGAAATAATGTCGGTGAATTGTTGTCGGTGAAATGTTATTTCTACGAAACGAGCGTCGGTGAAGTGAGCTGAACCGGCAATGGTCAATTTAATGATAGCATACGTATCGATTACATAAACATCCACTCTTCGACCTCCGGTGGCAGGTGAGATATATCTATCGTCGTAAGGCAGATAACGTTGGTCAAGACGATCGAGATTCTGAACGCATAAATAAATGATAAAAGGTTATGAAATAAAATATGCATCTTGATAAGAATTTTATAACCTTATTTACCCATGGAACATTTGCTTGAACTCTCATCCCAAATAATGGATCTTTACTTTTTGTTCCTTTATCATAATCACCTAACGCTAAATACTCTTCAGTTATATCTTCTTCATTAAGACCATCAATATCACGTGCAACCCAAACCTCGGAATCTCGTGCAACATAGTCAATTTCTTCGCGCTGCTTTAAAGTATTTTCCGCAAATTGTGGATCAAACATAGCAGAATAGGCACGAAAATTGTCGCCAATAGCGTATTCACGAATAATAATATCACTGCTGCTATTATTAGCAGTATGCGAGGAACCATTCTCATCGAGGGATGTTACAACGGTTGCTTGAGAATGAATGTTCGAAATCCAAGAGATATGATCTTGATATATAGAATCAGTGGTCTTAGTAATAGCAACTGTTGGCTCTGTATCGCTGTTTTGAACGCTTTTAATGACAACTATATAATGTTCATTTTTTCCATCGGATGATTTGCCAATAATTGTAGATTCGATGATCGTTACTAGCAAAATCGAGATGGAAAAAAAAATAACACATTTAATAAGCATTATCGCTATTCTACACTATTTTTATATGAATGATAGGTGAAGGTGCTGAAACTTACATTTCGAGGAAAAAAACTAGTGTTTAAATAACTGTTTTAATTGAGGGTGAAAAGTAGCTCATCAATATAATAGACTTAACGATAATGTCTGCTGATTTCTTTAACTTTAAAAAGTATATGAATCCATCTGACTAGCAACATCGCAGATAGAGTCACGAATCTTTGGTTCGATGATTTCGATCTCTAACTTTAGCATTATTCCAAATATGTCAATAACCTACCGGGGCGTCAGTGGCGCCGATTGTGACGGTGATGGTGAATTTTCTGCATAATGTTACCAGTCATTCAAAATACCCTCGCCATACTCTAGCCATGGGTGTGCCAACAAACACAATTAAAATATCACTATCACGTGTTGATCGACAGAATTCAGCCAAATCCTGAGTTCGTGTAACGCAACGCGATCAGAAAAATTTAAAACAAACGTTCATTTTGAAGAATTGCTTATTTCTCGAAAATTTACATAAGAAACCACCTTTCGTGCATTAACAAAAGTTTTTTTTGAGCAATTTTACTATCAGAACTACTAAATTCTAACTCCCATATAGACACTAACCCGAACATAAATGAACTTTAAGGTATCACGTGACAGTAAAACTTTGTTGGCGCGAAGATTGCAAGTCCGGAATGTGTGACAGGTTAGTGCCAGACTAC